TAAGAGAGCTGCACCCATCGAAATGCTCGAGAAATTAGATCAGTCGCGCCTCGTTTTCGCTAACTCGAACACCACTTTCAAGAGCACCCCTCATGTTTCGCAGCGATTAAAAGCCCTGTACTCTTTGACATTACGGAAGCGAGAACTTTCTGCGAAATTGCTTGCAGCTTCTGATGGCATCCCAGCCCAACTAGTCCAAATACAACATATTCCAAGAAGGCGGTATGGTGATATAGAGAGCAGCTCGTCCGATGATTTTTTCGTGGAGCCAATAAGCCAAAATCTACCGTATAACTCAATTGCGTATACAGTGGCAAAGTATGTCGGAAAATGGATGGCTCGTTAACGCTGTTTCGCGTACATGTGCTTGTCGTTTTTGTGGGAAAAAAAGTTTGGTGTGTGTGTTCATTTAATCCACGCTACACAGGAATTGCGACTTCCCTGCCCCGGAATGCCTGATCGCGAACATACATTTGTAAGTGTAGGAGGCCAGCGCAGAAGAGAAGAGAGAATCGGACATGGAAGCCGCCATCAACATGATCTAGCTGTCACGTCTCCTAATCTACAGGGAAATGAAGACACTGTGCAAGCGGTTGCTCACAGGCAAATGTACGGTCCATGGCTGCGTTGCCCTCGAGCCGAACAGAATAGGGAATTACAAAATAGCAAACCCGTTCCAAGGACGTTTCCAGATTCAGCGGAATTTTTTTCCTAACTGGATCCCACTGAATTTGAATGATGGAGTTGAAGAACAATTCGGGTTCAGTGAATATGACAATACGGATCACACATCACACGATCAACCATTTGAATTTGAATTTGCCCTGACGCCCCTTCAACCTCATACCCTTTGAACGTTAATCGTGACGACCACAGCCCTGACACATCACTCTATACTCTTCGAAACACAAACCATTGGCCCATGACCAACATGCATTTTGAAGAAACCTCTAGAGCTGGTGGCGGCCACGATAATTCAGAGAATCCATTTGGGCGTATCTCTGATATTCACACGACCAGTACACAGCAAAGAAGTACGCATCGTGCTTCTTGTACTCACACTAAGCGACGTAAGTGCTAATACCATCACAATATTACATATCTTGATTCTGGGACCCATTTTGTGGCATTTCATGTAGTCGATGCACATAAAAGCCTCAACTCTAATTGTTTCTCCATCATATATCTGTGTAACAACCATCTGACAATTGCATGTAAGTAGAATAAAAAGAGTTAGCGAGTCTTGTTGTTACAGAAAATAACTGGCACTTTACATGTTGGTGAAGCTTTCCAAATCACTGGTGATTCATTTCCACATGATCGTCAACCAAATCTCTGGTGATATAGACCAAATGTTTGGTGGCGATATACAAATCTTTGGTGCTTAGTCCTCTCCCTCCAGCAGGAGCCACATACAC